GAATTTGAATTCATTCTGTTACCCCCCGCAAGCTGGTGGGCAGAGATTTCGCACACCAAGCTTGGAGAGCAGGGACAGAAACAGAGCAGGTGACAACGGTTTGGTGAACAGATAAGCTAATTGATGTGCTGAGGAGATGTGCAAGAGCTTGAGAAATCCCAATTCCAGTTTTTCCCTCAAAAAATGACAGTCGAGTTCTATATGCTTCGTTCTTTCATGGAAGGTGGGATTCTTCGCAATGTGGATGGCGCTCTGATTGACACAATACAAGGTTGTTGGATTGGAAGAAAACCTGGAAATCCTGGAGAAGATATTGCAACCATTGAATCTCACAGGCGGTAAAGGCCAGGGCTCGATATTCTGCCTCGCAATAAGATCGAGAAACGGTATGCTGTTTTTTGCTTTTCCATGAGATGAGAGAATTGCCCAGGTATATGCAGAAACCTATTGTGGATCGTCTTGTGTCTACACAGGCTGCCCAGTCAGAGTCTGTGAAGGCTTTGAGATGGAAAGATCCTTGTGATGAGAAGAAAAGACCTGTGGCTGGGGCGGTTTTGAGATATCTCAACACACGTTGAGCAGCCTTGAAATTAGTGACACTGGGATTGGACATGTACTGGCTGAGTTGTTGTGTGGCGAAGCTGATGTCTGGGCGGGTAGTGGCCATGTAGACTTCATCTGCTAAGTCACCATTTAAAAATGCATTGTCTACATCCAATTGATGTATGTACCAGTTTCTGAGAGCAACAATGGCCAGAAATGTTCTCACAGTGGTCATCTTAATGAAAGGTGCAAATGTATCCTGGAAATCAATCCCTTCTTGTTGAGTGTTTCCTTTTGCAATTAATCTGGCTTTATGTCTTTCAAGAGAACCATCAGATAAGAATTTGTCTTTGTAAATCCACTTGTTGCCAACTGGTTTCTTTCCTTGTGGTAGTGAAACAACATCCCAAGTGTGGTTTTTTATCAGAGCCTTTATTTCAGTCTGCATTGCTTGATTCCAAATATCAAGCTTGAAGGCCTCTTTGTAAGACTGTGGTTCTTGATGACTGGAAATGTTTAGCAGAAATCTTTTGAATGGATCAGAGAGATTGTTGTATGAAATCATGAAAGAGAGTGAATACCTATTTTCTTGAATCTATTGCAGATTGGGGTGATTGGTGCTGCTAGGACCTTGTGCTAGGTAGCAGTGGTAGTTTTTGATGAGGTGAGAAGGAGGTTTGATTGTTCTGTCTGAACGTCTGAGATTTGGTTGAGGTGGAGGGTTAGGAGGTTGTGGAGGAGAAGGAGAGGGCAAGAGAGAAGTGATGTGGGGAGGAGAATTGGGAGGAGATGGTGGGGCATTGTGGTCAGGAGTAGATTGAATTGGAGAGGAGATTGGATGGTTAATTGGGGAAGTTAAGTTGCTAGAGACTGAATTTGTGTCATGAAGGAGAATGTAGTCTGGGGATGGGATTGGAAAAAGAAGGTCTGAAGGTGAGTCTGATGGGTCATCAGAGTCAATTTGTTTGAATGGAAAATGTGATTCATAGAAAATCACATCTCTTGAGGTAAAAAAATTCATGAGAGGTTAAGTCATATAGTCTGTAACCTTTGATTCCAGGGCTGTAGCCTATGAAAATTGTTTTCCTAGCTCTAGGCTGAAACTTGGTTCTATGATTGGAAAGGGTGGAAGCATAGTAAAGACAACTAAATACTCTTAACTCTGTTAGGTCTGGTGATTTGTTGTGAAGTATTTGGAATGTGGTTTCGTTCGCTAGAAGTGAGGTGGGAACTCTATTAATGAGATGGACGGCGTGCTTAACACAACTGCCCAAAAGGCTGGTGGTAGATGTGCTTGGAATTGAAGAGCCCTAGCAACAACAAGTATATGTTGATGTTTTCTTTCAACCTTGTTGTTTTGCTGAGGGGTTTCAACGCAGGACATTTCATGAGTAATGCCTGTGGAGGTGCAGAAATCAGTCATTTGGAACTCTTGGCCCTGATCAAGCCTGATGGTTTTTATTTGTTTTTGAAACTGTCTTTGCATTTGTGTGCAGAAGGCTATGAGTTCGGGTCTGGCTTCTGATTTAAGATGAAGTAGAATGATCCAAGTCATTCTGGAAAAGTCATCCACAAGGGTTAAAAACGTACTTGTAGCCATCATAGGATGGAACTGAATTAGGACCCCAATTGTCTACATGAAGTAGTTCAAAGGGATACTGAGTTACAGACTGGCTTACAGGAAATGAAAGACGTTTTTGTTTTGCAAAATGACAAACATCACAGGGTTGGTCCTTATGTGTTATAATGGAGGTACAAAATTGGTTGAGAATGAGAATTTTAGAGTGGGATACATGTCATAGGCTAAAATGTCATAGATCAAAGGGAGGTCTGGAAGCAGCAGTGATCAACCTAGGGGTGTTTGATGCTTGAAGGTAATAGAGGCCATTGTGAAGGCTAGCAAAACCAATCACTTTCTTCTGCTCTAGATCCTGTATGAGACACATGGTAGAATGAAATGATAAGCTTAGTTTGGTAGTGGAAGTGAGTCTGCTCACAGAAAGTAGGTTGAAGGAAAAATGGGGTACAAACAGGGCATTTTGGAGGATGATATCATCACTGCATACAGTTGTGCCAGAATGGGTTGCTTGGACTTTTGTTCCCGTGGGTAGGGTTATGTAGACATTGGTCAAGGGCTGAGGGTCTTGTAGATAAGATAAGGAGCATACAATGTGGTCTTATGCTCCTGTGTCAACTATCCACATTGTCTGGTGTGAAGAGAAAGCAGTAAAGATAGGGGTGGGAAGAATACCTTTGTTGGTGACAAAGGCAGCAACAGAGAAAGAAGTGGAAGGTTGTGATGCATTCATCAGGTGCATGAGCTTGTCATAGTCAGCTCTTGTGAGCTTGACTTCATAAGGTGAAGTAGTAGTGGCAATGGAATTGACAGAAGGTCTTCCTCGACCAGCAACAGAGTTGGGATTCCTTGGCACAAAGTTGGTAGGGTATCCATTTTTCTGAAAACATTTGTCTTCAGAGTGACCTCTTCTTTTGCAGTAAGAACAAGTGATAACAGTGCCACGTGTGGATGATGATGGTTTTGTCATGCCAGGAGGACAACCATGTTTTTGAAAATATATATTCTCAGTGTGCCCTTCTCTCCTGCAAAAAGTGTAGTATGGGGGTTTGAAACTGGGATTTGGCCTTCTGCTGCCCTCTTGAAAAGCCATTGCTGATGAATCTGTTTGCATAGAAGCTATGAGCTTTCTAGATTGAGTACCATACAGCTGCCTTTCGTGCTGAAGCATCCTTTGAAAGACCCTGTTGATATTAGGAAGCTCATCTCCAAAGAGCACTTGTGCTCTAACACCAGAGAAGTTCTCATTGAGGCCTCTGAGAAATTTAATTACATAACTTGTTTCTTGGAACTGGAGAACCGTTAGCATTGCAACACAAGTATTGTGACAGGTAGGAGTACATGAACATGGCAGGAGAGGTTGATAGTTCTCTAATTCATCTTTCAGAGTAATCATTCTACCATAATATTCAGTCACAGTCTGATTACCTTGCTGCAGAGAAGATAAAGCTTTTTCAAGTTCTGCAATCCTAATCAGTCTCCAGATCCATAGCGTGTTTGGAGATTTTTCCAAGCTTCTGCTGCTGTTTTGTTGGAAATGTTCCTGTCATTGGATCAAAACGTTGACAGATTGGGAGAGGATCGTTGGAATTTGAATTCATTCTGTTAGGGGAAACAAAGAGATTCAACCAGTTGGCCACTCGAACAACAGATTATCCAAACCCGATAGGCGCCAAAGTCGAGTAGTCAAAGGACAGAAGAAGAACAAATGTTCAATTGATTCTTCGGCTTGAGAACAGACCAGACAAGATTAGGAATGTACATTTCCCCTACTAATAAGACCCTCCGTCGTTGGGATAATTCTGTGAACCAGTTGCCAGAGGAAAAACCGAATCTTTGGTTGGACCTGGAGACACCATAAACGTTTCCCGATCGAAGTATCAAAAGGAGAAACTGAAAGGCGCTTACATGGTTGCCGTGAGATCGAGAAAGCAGATGATAAGCTGAGCGAACAGTAAATTCCCCAGTAGTATCATAGTAGTGCCAAATGCGTTTATCCGAGATCGGATAACGTGGCAGAGGAATCGACGTAATGAGCTGCACCAAATTAGTGGAAAAGAAAGCATTCAGAGCCCCAATGTGGCAATGTTCCCGATGTAACAAGGCTTGGTTAAAAGCAATGAAGTCACGAAAACCAAGTTCGCCTTCTAATTTGCAGCACACAAACTTCGCCAAGCAATCCAATGTATTCGCTTATGTCCCTGGACCGCCCCCACCAAAATCGAGCAACAATAGCATTAAGACGACGAAGGAGAGTGAGCGGCAGCTTGAACCAACTCATCACATAAAATGGGAAGAGCTGATGTTACTGATTTTATTAATGTTTCCTTTGCTGCCGGAGAAAGCGCCCGATGTTTCCAGCCCTGAAGCTTCGCGTGGAGTGCGTCCTCAACAAACCGGAAAGTGTCCCTTTTTTATTTACTAATTTGAGATGGCAAACCTAGATAGTGATCCTGAACCCCAATGAAACCAATTCCCAAAATGCTTCCTTGATGATGTTGAACTGCAGTAATCTTGTTAGAGCTGAAAAACACAACAGACTTACTCAAATTCACCCGCTGGCCGTTAATGCCTTCATATTCGCGAAGCACTTGAAGCAATTTCCGGCAATCACGATGCAAAGATTTCAAGAACAAATAAAAATGGTCTGAAAAAGAGCAAACAAATAAGGTCATTCCAAGCGATCGTACGCCTTTTCCATATCGAGTTTTAATGCCATGAATTTCTCCCTTCCTGAACGAAGATTCTTTAGGTAAAACATCGCCTCATGAACCATTGACAATTTGTCTATCCCTCACAAACCCGTTCTGCTCAGAACCCACCACATGAGGTAAGAGTAAGACAGTACCTAACCTTGCCATAATCAGTTTAGTTATCACCTTATAAATGAACTGACACAGGCTAATTGACCGCAGATCATTCATACATTCAACAACATCCACCTCATTGATCAAAGTAACCCAAGTAAGGCAGATCAATCTTCAGGCCCAGCAGAACCAAAAGCACAACAAGAAAAGCATACAACCACCTCCCCAGGCCCAACATCTCATATCCACATCGAAGCCCATATAACAATACCCCCTTACCAAGCCCAATCACAACCGCACACAAAACCGATACCCGGTTTCCCACGTAATAAAACTCTTACCACTGTAGCTAGTGACAACACTGACGAGTTAAAATACATGCGGCAAAGCATAACAAACACGATGTTCACTCCATGGGAGAGGCTTGGGTTCTATTCTTTCTACCCCATCTGTCAAGTTGTGTGGGGGTACAGAAGCTACATCCGCACCTTAATTAAACTCCTCATCGGAGACCTCACTATCACCGGAGAACCCGTAGTACTCGCCGTCAGTGGACAACTCGGGGTCCGAGAACCCCGACGGGTACCCGTCCTCATCCGTCGATCCATAATCAGGGATCTCCGGATTGTAGGGGTAGTCGTCGGTCGAGTCGAAGGGACACCGCAGCTGCTTGATCTGACGACGACACCTCTTCTCCAGATCACCTTCCAGGTTCACGTTGAAGCACTGCCGGATATCTAGAGACTCAAGGTGTCTGCAGCCGTTGAGGATTGCTTCGAGGCCAAGATTCGTCAGCTTGTTCCCGAACACCTGGAGGTGGCGCAGGCCAGGCATGTTCTCTGCGATTGCAGTTGCCTCCTTGTCGTTCTCTATGCGCGGCCTCCTGTACCCTGCCTGGTTCAGTTTCAGCGACTTGAGGAACGGGCAGTACTGCCCGGCAGCCACCAATGCGTCCTTTGACAGCGCGGAGTAGGAGATCTCGAGCTCTTCTAGGAAGAGAAGCTTTTGGACTGCGGTGCTGAATCCTTGGTCTGAGACTTCGTGGCAGGACACCAGTCGGAGGCGTTTTAGCTGGCCTGACCTGGGGAAAGTGGTGATTGAAACAAGCAGCAAAATGATTGAAGTCAGTGGAAGAGTATTAAACATTTGCAGCAGACTGAATTTCTGATTCCAGGAGGAATCATATCCAATTATCAGAGTTTCTGATAAGCAGATGCTAGAAGAATCCCTTGTTCTTCTCCTCATTCCTACAGCGATTGACACATATTGACAATGAAATCGGCAAATACCTGCCCACTGATGACACTAAACTGGAACCTCATGAGTAGAAGACGCCTGATTTCAGCCGAGGTTCCTATTATGGTGAAGTGAAAGATCTTTCACTATAGTGGGAACGAGCAGAGCAAGTTCCAGTGGTGGGTTGTATCTACTCGCTTGCTCAAATCGATTTTACATATTCATATACCGTTTACTAGACAGGGGAAGGGCCATCAAAAGATGGGGAAGGGGAACCCTATCTTAAGAAACAGTGCGGACCCTAATTTTCCAATCCAATTTCAGTTGGAAGTTCAATTAATCGATGTCTCTACAATTCAAAACCCTAAATTCAAGTTCGATCTAACCTTTCCAAGCAGTTGACAATTGCAAATGATTATCCGGGGATGGAGAGAAATGGAAAAGAGGAAATGGAGGCAGAGAATGAATTACTTGCTAGCGATGTCAGCGAGGAGTTTATCGGAGCCGAAGCACTCCAAGCTCAGAGAAACCAGACCACCGCAGCTCCGATCGACGGCCTGCGCGCAGAGCGCCTCCACATCGGTAACTCGCTCCCAGGAATAATGGCTGATGTCGACAGATCTCCAGATGTACGGGTCCCGGCAGACCTTCCGCCACGAGGAGCAAACTAGCTGAGCAATCCCCAGGCGATCCGCGGGACTGAGATGCGCCATAATCACGGAGAGCAGCTCCGGGGAGAGACCCGCCCAATCGCGAACTAACGCAGATCCGCCGTCGAGTGGCTGCTTCTGCGGCAGGGGTTGTTGTGGATCCATCAGATTCAGCTTTTTCAAGGGAGAACAAGGAGTGGATGCGGAAGAGGATGTAGCGCCGCCGTGAAGAATTCGAGCGTGAGGGTTGGTATTTAGTCTTCTCCTGGGAGGCGTACTTGTGGTTGTGGAGGTAGCCATCGTATTCCCGCACGCAAGTCGGTAGGCCTTGTCCGTCTGAGTCTCCTTCTCCTTCTCCTTCGTCTACTTCTTCCAGCTTTAATGGAGTCCGTTCTCTCTCTCCTCACGGGGGAGAGGGCAGGGATGAGACGTGTGGCCCACCGCCGTTTCACTCTGGGTAATCTTCTCTTTCTCTCGCGTTTCGTGGCGGGGCAACTGTCGTTTTTACGGTTGCCGGATTAGTCTCGTGCGCCATTTGTCCCGCTTTTTCTTTTCCGGTGTCCTATACAAATACAATGAACCGTTTAGCTGGCAGATGGGCTTCGAAGTTTGGGCTCATCGGACAATGTCTGTGCGGCCCTATGTTGACCCTGAATCATGGGCTAGTCCGGGCGGGCAACAATGAATATCGCTGACCCGGATTCTCACATTAATCGGGTTACAAATCTATCTACATCCATCTATCTATCCTATCTATCTACACACTAATATATAGACGTTCCACGGGAGGATGGGGTTAGACCGGAAAAGGAGTGTCTGTGCGCATTTGAAGGAAGGTTATATATGTCATTCTACTTCTCTTTTTTTATTTATTTATAATTTGTGTCCTTCTACTTCACATTTAATTTGCTCTAAGATATTATAATTACGTCAGGTACCATAATTGGCTGAGTTTGGGCTTTTTGCATGGTATTTCATCTTTCGATCTTCACATAAATAAACTGGTCTTCACAAAAAAAACTTCTAAAAATGTGGTCTCAAGCGAATGATTAAAACAAAAACTACATGACAAATCTAGACAAATTTCACATCAACAAAATAAGAGAAAAATCTATAATTCTTAAAGAAATCAACATTAATTAACAAGACATGTTTTGAGGTGAAATGAAGCCTTCACCAAATATTTCACAGTTTGAAAGCAGTAGCTACAAAATTGATTACTTTATTTACAGATTCTATGCCTCGAAAAAATATTCCGCATGAAAAATCATATAATTGACAAAACAGTGCTCCAGCTCTATCTCCAAACATCCCATGTAAAAAAGAGTTGGGATTTTGATGCATAACCTCCTTTAGTTAGTGTTGGGACAAATATCAATAGCTATAGTTAAGAGTTTTTCAATTTCAATTTCTTGCAAATTCAACAAACTATATCTCATTCGTTTTAACTTTGCTTTATAAAACAAAGATTTATAAAAATCATATGAATTGAAATGTGCCAAAGAAATGTTGAAGAATACTACGATGAGATATTTTATAAGAATTGTACAACAACCTCAAAGACAATAGTAGTTCGGTAATAATATGCCTATATTGTTCTATTGTTTTTTACTCCAAGTTTATTCATTCGAGAAGATAATCATACCCACTAAAACATAAAGTTTTCAACCAAATAGTGTATCTTAACTACTGTTATTATATAAATTTAGGGTTCAGCTCCGAGTTGTAGACAACATTGTTTAATCTAACTTTATAGATTTGTATCTATGTTTTGTGAAACGTCTATTGAGAAACTACTCAAAGATAGTGACAAAATGAGTGAACCATCACCTTCTTATCCCCACAACTTGAGAGAATGAGTAAAATTTCCAGATCAAACTCATTTATTACAACATTGCGAACGCCATAAGTGGGTCACATTTTTTAAGATAATGAAAGGTGAAGAAGAGCAATATCACACAAATTTCATGACATGCACTAGGTAAATTTAAGTATTTCAAAATGGGTTTTACAATCATAAATATTTTGCCATTAAATATTTGCATTCGATGAAATGTAGGAGAAGAAGGAAGATTGTGCTAATGGTAGAGTTAGTGAATTCAGTGATGGAGATGCTGACGTTATTGAGATAAAGAAAGAGATTGTTGATGGTTTATATATAAATTTTAATGATAATAAAGGTTCCTTTAATGAAGATGAAGTTGTGCGGAGAAGATGCTTTTGATGGCAAAGCAATCGCAAAGACACCCAAAATGAAATTTGCAGTAATTTTTAATAGCAAAGAGTAAACCATGCATTTTGAATATTAAATGTTTTATGAATAGTTCCCTACATGAATTGTGTTTTTTATTTTTGATAAAGACTTTTGTCCATTAATGATCAAGATGTCCGTAAAAATTATGATGTATGTTGCTTTCTGATTTTTTTTTGTAATTTAATAATTTGAGTTGTTTCATGATACCAAATGAAAATGTAAATTGGTTTGGAGAATTACCATTATTGTTTATATCATTGATGTAATTCATCCGGCCAACGGGCGGGCCCAAATCTAGTCTTATAATATGGCACTACCTTTACCACGTGAGTTTTTCTTCATTTTGAATTCTCTACATTTTCCTTTACAGTAGTTAGCATTATAATGGTAAACTAGCTTAGTACCCGGCCCATTGCTCGGATTTTTTTGTTTTATAATTAATTTATATTAATAATTTTTTCATAATTTTTTTTTTATTCTTGAGTGTTCTATGTTTTTGTAATTCATTATTGAGAAATATTATTATGGTAGTCATATGTATGATCTGATCCAAACTTTTTTAGTAAAAATCCTGCTATTTTATTTAGTTGGCTTGGGGCAAGGTACAATGGTTTTGTAGCACACAAAGCAGAAAAATGAGGGGCCTAGAGGTCCACAATTCCTTTGAATCCCAAGCACACAAAGAATGCGCTAGAATGTGGGCTGACTGATTGTACTTAGGGCCAGCGGCGGATCCAGGATATAGTAGAGCACTGGGCCGGATTTGAACAGAAAATTAGATACCGTAAACAAAAATATATAATAATAATTATAGTTTTCATTACAATATCAATTGCACACGACGGTCTTTCAACCGCAATCGATGTTTTAGGACTTCTTCTCCACCAATTCTATGAATCACTTTATCAATATGACCGGAGGGTTTCATCAATGCATCAGCCGATGCAACACATTTATTATGAACTGAAGAAGATGATGAACCAACATGAAGAAGGAATGCACAATTCTTACCTTGAACCCTCTTCCAATTATCAAATCCCTTTTGCACCAATGCAGAAGTTTGACTTCCATGCATCTTATCTCTAAACAAAAAGCATGGGAAACAATATGCTTTATGTGTTGTAGGTGAATACTCCAACCAATCAAATTGTGAATACCATGCTTCTTGAAAGCGACGAATTTTATCTTGATATTCTCGGGGCTTATAGTCCGTGAGCTTTGGTTGATAAGCCTTGTGTATGAGGTACTTTCTCCTGACCTCATCTCTCAACTCAATAGCCCAATCACATATTTGTTTCCTCTTTCCTGGATCTCTTTCAACTTCAATTCCACCGTCATATGATTGATGTAGATTACCAGATAGAGGAGAAGTAGATGATTGGTTTTGCTCTAGAGAGGAAGATGGTTGACCTTCGATAGGAGGAATGTCTTCTATTTGACTCGTTTGAGATTCCTGACATTGATAGTAAGAAAACAACGTCGTTTTCGCCTTTTTATTTGGTGGTTGAGAAGATGTCATGATAAAGTATATAAAACCTGCATAATCAATTAATCATACAAAATAAGACAACATAATCAATTAATCTTACACCTGTATGATCAATTATTCAAAAGAAAACAAACGAAATTTCAGATTTGGGAGCGGTCAAAAGAAAACAAACAAGTTGGGATTTGGGAGCTGTCAAAAGAAAACAAACAAGTTGGAACTTGGACGGTTGGGATGGGTGCTGACCTGTTCCTGCTGCCTACGTGTTGTTGTCTTGGTTGGTCGGACTTTAAATTTGGAACTGATCACCGCCGTGGAAAACGAAATCGCAGTCACGCGGTGGAAACGAAATCGCCGATCAGATGAGAATTGGGGCCTGGAAAGTTTTGCTTTTGTTATTGGGGATGGGAATCGAGGGACAAGGACAGGGCCTGGGTGGGATTGGAAATTAAGTTTTTGTTTTATTCCTTTTCTTTTCTATTCTCCTTTGGCAGTTTGGCCGCATGGGCTTTGGAAATGGCCAGGGCCCGGGGGGAGTGGGATGCGGGGGGAGGGGTCTCGGGCTGGCAGAGAGGGCTGGGCCCAGGCCCAGTGTGCCCCCCCCCCAAATCCGCCGCTGCTTAGGGCCCACCCACCCAAAATCAACATTTCCAATCTCTCGGGCTTCCTCCAGAAGCTCTTCACAGTTCACACAATTCCTCCACCTCTAACGCTGACTGCATTTCCCGTCGAAACTTTTGTACCAGCAGCGTGCAGTCCGATTCCAGTTCCACATTTCCTCAACCAAGCCTTCGTGCTAGATTTAGCCCAAATTTGATCGCCATAGCCTTCGGCACCTCCACCGGCCATTGTTGGCGTACTCGACAAACCGCCGCAAGGTGAAAATCGCCCAAACCCGTACCATTCCCATGGGAGCACTTCTAGTATGCTATAAAGTATTGGTGCTTTAATGTACAACTTAAAGTTGTACCATAACATTAAATGTATAAGTTTAGGTTGTACCATAAAGCAATTTGTACCATTATGTTATGGTACAACTTTACAACTTGAAGTTGTACCATCACATAAAGGTACAACTTCAAGTTGTACCATAAAAAAATTTGTACAAAAAGTATAGGTACAATCTGAAGTTATACCATAACGTAAATGTACAATTTTAAGTTGTATCATAAATGCAAAATCCTATAGCACAAATACTATATAGCATTGTAAAATTTCTCTTCCCATGGAGAATTGTTGCATCAACAACATTCATTTTCAACCAACCTTGCCTCGAGGGTTGCCATCGAAACTCTGCCCCCTGGTTCAGATGAGTATTTCGCACCTAATTCGTCTTGTACTCAGTTAACCATTCAATTATTAGTGTCATATTTGGGGATGAGTTAGGTTGACTACCCTGCAAGTGGTTGGAAAAATGGCACCCCTATTAATTATAGCTACTTTGGGTATTAAATATGTGTTGTTTTAATAATATTTAGGAATTAAAAACTCATATTAATTACATTTCTTTTTTTCCAACATTAAAGCTATATTAATTACATTTCTCTATCGCTATTTCCACTCTTTCCTTTCCCAAAAGCCAGTACTCCTTCCAGTCATACTCCTGTCGGGTGTCGGCAGACTCCTTCCGACCATATTTTCTCCGACAGACTCCCTCCAACCACTAAAAAAGTATAAGTGCATTTAAAAAATATCATTGTACTAATACAACTATCATTGCACTAATACAACTACCATTAATGAAAAAATGTAATTAATATAGTTTTTTAATTCTCACTGATTAT